AAAGAGATCACGAAGAGTTTGGGTGTTGTTGGTGTTGTGCGACTTCCAGGATGGGGTCCTCGTGACCCCGTCTGTGCTTGGCTGGAGACGTTGCAAGAAATGGAGGCTAATCGATGTCAGTGGCGTTCGTGCTGTCAGTTTCTTTCAAGATTGTCGGATTGAGCAGTTGGTGGTGTAGGCATCTCATAATGCTTGACATAGACTAGCACTAGGTCCCCTCCCTCACCCACTCTTTTTCTTTTCTCTTCACTGTAGGGCTTTTAATACAATTATATATATATATATAACTTTATGGTTGTACGGCAGTGCCAACACTGATGTTGCTGTCTTTGATGATGATGACGGTGTGGACTAATCACCCTGCTATTAGCCACGGCGGGTGATCAATGTAGGAGTACTGTGTTGTACTGGGTGCACAAAAATTCAGTTTTTCTTTTCTCGGCGTTGAAAGTAAAACCTACGAAAGGCAGTGCCAGGTTGTCTGGTCACCGCACCAATACCCACGTTAGGAATCAGCAGTACGACGTGCGAATCGTCATTAGAGTCATCCGTTATTATGGTCAACGAAAATCCTGAAAAGTGCAAGCTAGCAGACTACGACCAATTTCATGATGAAGGTCAAACTCAGATTTTATTACCCTATGAGGTCTGCAATATGGAGAGTTCAAAGTCAAAACTCAGTGCAATGTAAGATGTCATAATCCGACAGTTAGTTGCCGTAGGGAACATTTTTCACGAGTTTTTATAGTCAACTGACTGTTGGCCACGTGCAGTTATTTAGGCCTCTCATTGTACACACACGCCGAAGGCGCCTGACTGTGAGCTGATCTCAGGAACACCACCAATCAGAAGACATGGTCGCAGAGCTGGATCCAACCATATAAAGATTAGCTATAATGGTGGTTTTCTTAACTTGGATTTAGTTGTCCGACAAATTTGGAACACACGAAGATGAGGAAAATCCCTCAGTTGACTGCGAGAGACAATCTCCACGGATCGGCTTCCACATTGTGAAACGAGAAATAAGCAAAATCGATAAAATACGATTAAATCCAGTCTGCCGGACAGCTGGCTTGGTTCGTCGAAACATAGGAAAAGAAATTCTTTGCAACTTGAGTCACAACGGCGGGTAGCTCGTCGTTTGGAAGTAAGTATATTAGCAATATTAGACTAGAAGGTTGCGACTGATTAAAATTTTATGTTGGTTAACGCTCAATTCCTTTTTTTTACGCACCAAGCCATTCGACAAGAAATTGACGGGATCCATAGTGCTCAATCAAATAAGATGGCTCTCTCGAAAGATTCTATTACCCTTTTTAAATTGTGTAGGACACACTGACGGGACCTACATGAGGCAATAAAAGATTCTGCAGAATCGTGATAGACTTGGAGACAGAAAAAGTGGACGAATGAGAGGACCAGGGACGCCAGAGCAATCATTTCTCTTAGTTCAAAAAAGTATCCACATTCCGAGATACGTCAATTTCTGCACTTTGACCGGAAGGCCCTCTCAGCCTCTGAGTACACGGAGAACTCTGCTGTCTAGTTGAAAATGGCCATGAATCTGGCTATGTGTTGAGATTTCGAATATCCTACTTTGAATGTGAGTGGATGGGTAACAGCCACTGGTGCATCGAAAACGTTATTCGAAATTCTACGAAAACCACATTGCAAGGCAAGACAAAGACCAATAACCCCCAGAATTGTCTGAAAAACCAGACTATGGATCCGACCCCAGCAATAAATGAAAATTCAAGTTAATCATATTTGTCCTAAGTGTTGTAGCACGTAAGCAAGAGGAATCATTCAGAGGGAGGAGATTATGAAAGTCAATACAATTGACAATGCATGCGTGAGTTTAGCTCACGGACGATGCCTCGAAGGCGCGCATGTGGGTGGAATAAGCCTTCTTTCAATCAAACGAGAGCAATAACGCGGAATAAAATCGGAAGGGACAAATTGGCGGTGTGTTGCGGACGGGGATGGAACGTCAAGGTAGGCGGCAAAGCCGGAAGCTCCAGTAATCCAGTATGTGTCGAATAAAGGCAGACTCATTATCCGTAGTTAATTGGGATTTATGTACACAGCTAGGCCGATGATTAGGGGTTAGCGATGATGCTGAACCCAGATGATATTGTACGCACAGAAGGCAGGTACAGCAGTAAGGTGTCAAAATCTACATAAGGCAAGGAAAGCACATTGATTTGGTGACTGTTGGCATCGGATGATTCAGATGCAGCTAGTCACGCGACGACAGTGCTGTCCGAGACGGAGACAGAGCATACTAGGAGTTTCCTTCGTGTATGAGTGTATGTATAGGTGTAGGCATCCGATTAAAACAGATCAGTGATTGACTGAGTTTTGCTGAGGTGGAAATCGATCGAATGATCGACCACCAGGACTAGGCGCGATCTGAAACAGAAGAAGAGCACTGAGCATAGAAAATTTATTATTGGCGATAGTGGATAAGTCAAAAATCCAAAAATCAACTTAAACTCACAAATAAGCCATTCGCTCATTGAGATTAGGAAAAACCAAAACAAGAAACCGAACTAGAAGAAAACGAACCAAAAGGACCAACCACAGAGATCCAGAGGACTCTGAAAGCATTCAGATAGCTGGGATTCAGGTAAAGGAGGACCACCAGAAGGAACCAGTGAAGCGATTACAACCGAATCGTCCTGACTGGTTGAACTCGTGTCCTCGCTTAGTACGCTCGGAGTTCGAGCGAACGACGTGGTGGGTGGAGTCAGAAAGGCTGATGATAAAGTATTGGTGGCCGGAGATCTGGGTGAAAGTAAGGACTGACCAAGGGTAGTAGGTAGGCCGGATGTCTTTTCTTCGTTCACAGCCGAAGTGGTGCACGTGTCTTGCGGAGCGGTAACCTACAGTTGGTGATGTGGGATGTGAATTCAGGTAGACGGACAGAGAACTTCCGTTGGCTTTTCACACATTTTGAACACCGAATCTCAAATTACCCGGGCATATTGAACGAACATGATGTAACGGCCAAAATCACGTGTGCAGCATCCTTCCAGACCTAAGACATGATGAGCTCGAAATGGCTCAGTAGTTGAGGCGCCAATTTACTAATCGGAAGGTTTGAGGTTCGAACTCGACCTCTGCATCTCGAATGCTCCTGTCTAGGTTTGGGAAACCTGGCATCATCTCGGTCCTCGTGCCTTTTTCGGGTGGCATGGCAGCTTGGAACCGAAATGGTACTACAACCGAACCAGCCTTTCTAACGGCGTCATCACAAGGAACTTTGCATTCCACTGTGGGAAGATGTAACATGTAAACGTCCAGAAAAAGTGTATTCGTACTATCACGTGGCTACCTGCATTCTGGACGTCAGCTGGGCCAGTTGGGAGGTATAAAATAGTTTAAAAAAACAATAAAAAAAACACGACAAAAACCAAGTGTTATGATAAAATATTCTAGCCAGACAAAGAGTAGCGGGCTCCCAATCTAGGTACAGTCGTACCGCGAAGTAGTCTGCATCACAGTATGAAGGCAACATGTCCACATTTATCAGGACAGCGCTGTTGTCTTATCCACGTGAGCTGGGTTAGAAAAAGCCGCACACTCCGATTGTCCAACGACTGACATTGACCACCGGTGAATTATCTAATGCGTCGAAAGGGAAACAAGTCCTTACCATGAGTTCGATTCGATTCCGAACTATCTAGTGCGGGAACCTCAACTAGTGGTCTGTCGAGTGGTGCTCATCTTTCTTTTCTGTTTGTGTCTTTATTCCCCAAACAACAGACGGCTAAGAGATAAAAGCAAGAACTGGTAATCAATATGAGGGGCTCGAAAGAGTGCGAGAACTAGAAGCAACATGAATCCGTGAAAATGGTGAAGAATGTCAAATGTTGGAAGACATCATTTGAACGTGTCTATCTGTCATTGCCTGTTCCAAAGCCTGAAATGTAGACGACTGGGCTACTGACCCTATGTCCATAACAGCAGTTGGATGTTTGATAGAGATAGCCTTAAGGAACAAGCACGGTCTGTAGAAAACGAGGAATGTTCGGTTTACGTGAAAATTGTTAATGGGTAATGGTAATGAGTCGGATGCGCTCTAAGGCCAGGTGGTCGGTGTAGTCACTTCATATGCACGATACTGGGTAGGATGGAGGAATGGTCATCGTACAAGGGTAATGAACGCCAATTAATGAAGCAGTTTACTCAACTCAACGGAAGAAACAGGAGGATAAACTGAGTGAAACTTGCCTGATGGGGCGGAGAGCTAGACATATTCGAAAGAAACTGGCGCTTTGCATCACTGTACGCGGCGATGGAATGCAAGTCGTGAGACATTTCATCAAGGTGATCCACAGTAGATCCAGCCAAATGACCGCCGACCGCCGGCTGACCCAGCACAGTTACGGAAACGGGACCATCGTTATCAGTTGGTGAACTGGGTTTGCTCGGAAGAACAAAATCCACACTTCCATCACATACAACCAAATTGAGGGTGGGACCGGCTTTGCGAAACACCTGGGAAACGGAGTGGAACAGAGATGAATACGAAGTATACGGGAACTAATCGACAGTATGGAACGCATAATATACACTTTGTTTACTGAAAGGCGAAGAAACAGCTGACCGCAGCGTCAGCACAGTCCAGGAAATTTTTCTTGACCTCCCGAATGTCTTCTGCTAAAACCCTTCTTCACGACCCAGCGAATGTTGTCACCAGGGGATCCCTCAGTGTTTGCAGAAACTTTCACAGAAATCATCGCGAATGGTGTGCAACTGGTTAGTTTCCATGCCTGTTTCAGTATAGTTGCTCGAAACAATGGCACACACATAAGTTGGTTTGGTAAGCCCTGACGATCCACGCGCACCTCTTACAAAGTTGCTGACGATAAAGCCAGGGACAAATTCACCAGTGAGCTGGCCAAAGTTCCAGCGCGTCCACCTGGAGCTGTTACTTTTGAGGCCCAATCGAAGTAGCCGGTCGCAAATCTGATGTCTTGTGATTCTCCTGCGTTTACAATGATCAGGGCCTCTGTAGATTCCTTGCCATGTCAGCGGAAGGAGGCACGATGGCTGGGATACTATCAGGTTGCCCAAGCCTAGATATGAGCAATCCAGATGCTACGGTTGGGTTCGAACCAACAGCCTTCCAGTCCGTAAGCTGGCGCCTTAACCACTGAGCTTTCTTGATCCCTGAATAACGGACCCCAGTGATGACCATCAACACTGATTCGGGCGCAACCGTTCCACGAGGAGTACGTTGGTGTAGGTGTCTATGGTGTTGGAGAGAGTAACAGTGCTTGACATCTCGCAGGCAATTGAACGCCAATGGCATACTGATCTCCCCTCCAAAATATCGATGTGTGGCCCGTACTCAAGGATAGCCAGTTGCAGTGGACACCTTTAACGGACTGATTCATCAGTGTGTATACATGGACATGTTTTCACCGTTCACAAAATCGGCGGAAGAGTTCCGGGGACTAGTCGAATCCATTTCCAACCAAAGATCTTTGTTGCGTAGTTTTCGGCCGTATTTGCCATCGACACTACTGTTCACCAGGTCATGTCTCATCCAATGCACTCTGCTTTTTTATTTTAAACGAGTGTGCATAAACAACTGGTACTGAGGATCTTCCAAGAATTCGCCAAATTTCACCACTTTTTTCTAGGTTCGCGGACTTTATCGACCCAGACTGCAGTCCCGCCTCTTCTCCATAATTTGAATTTGGAAGTTTCATCAACTACCCTTGGTTTAGTTACGTCAAACAGGCTACTGTGTGTTCCTCGTCCGTCCAAATTCTAGCCCCTACAAGTACCAAAATCACGTTGGGTAAGAATACTGCTGACATTTCGGATCGGGTCTGTTCCAACTACCTGTCAGCCACCGACCGTATCATTTGCCTTACTACTCAACAACCTCTTTCTCCTAATTTATTGTTACTAGTACACAGTCCTCAACATCAGTTGTTTTCACTAACCTCCCCTTTCTTCTGAACGACTACTCTCTGGAGCCTTAAAAGATTACCACCTTACAACCCCAGACTATTGAAAAGTTGAACTAACACATTCCCACGGAAGCCCCCGTGAATTGTCTTTTGTATACATAACAGTTGTGAAGTACACCTGCCGGGGTCCGACCATTGGACCCTGCGTCTGTGAACGGCTTAATATGGAACAAGCTGATGATACCTCAATAGATAGTATTAATGTAGAACTAACGAGTGTACCACGAAATTGGTCAGTTCTTTCACAAATTGGTTGGTCCTTCTCACAAACGTGTGACAAATACAGATTGACAAAATGATCGCGCAGTACCTCGACGCATTGCCTGATTAAGTTTGGCAACGAATCGATCGATGTTCCTGTGAGAGGCGGGACCGCTTGGGTTGTTGAGGGGGTACGAGTATCGAACAATCACGACGGGGTTTCGAAAATTCAACATAAAAATCGAAGCACTGTGAGAAATATAAACACTATAATCTAGGCCCTTCTGTTGGGAACGTTCAGTAAACTAGATCTGTTAGGATACACGCCTGACAACTAACCGACCGACCTATCCACTCAGATTCGAACGTTACACACCATGAATTTCGATCCTATAACATTAAAAACTGAAGAATAGTGCGCACGGTGGTTTGCAGATTTTTTGGATGGAAGGTAGGAGATAGTAAAGCGAACACGATGTTCACAAAATAACGTACTGGGGAGGTGCATACAAACACACACATACACGAAGTAGACGCGAATAAGTGTGTTCTGTGGTACCACAAACGCGAAAATTTAGTTAGCCATCCTTGAGTGAAACAAATGATTGACGTCCATTGCATTTTTGAGGAAGGAGAGTCCGAGTAGTGAAGATTTCGGGATTAGCAATACGGTTTCTCAAAATGCCACCACTGATGGCACCCAGCAGTGCATGCAACTGATAAAAGACGTACACACGGCCGCATTGTAGAGAAGTAGAAAAAAAATTCAGTCGGACCATTTTCGGTCCGCTAAAAATTAACGCGCCTCGGAAGAGCATCAGGTAAGAGATTTAGCCACCACAGCGGTAAATAGATGTTTCGTCCGAGCATTGCGTACGCCATTGCACGACCATACGGCAAAGCGTTTTTCATGATTGCTGAACCGCTGAAGACCACTCTGCTCGTTGTCTCGCATGTGTGAAAGCAGCCATCGAATACCAGAAACGGATTAGTGAGTAATAATTACACACAATGTTCTACTCACCTCTGGAGACAGCTCAGACACACTTCTAAACTTTGGTAACCTGTCAGTGCTTTAGGCATGTGTATGAGCGAGGAAGTGAAAGGAAGTTACAGCCGAATGACTTGATTTGTGGGCTAGAAATTGAAAAAGGGGACAATTTTCTTTCAGTCGATAACTCCCAGTATAACATGAGTGTCGCATGTTAGCGTATTACAACCTAGGACTACCCCAGTAAACTCCAGAGACTCAAATACCAGATGAGTCTGACAAACACAGTATCTGGCACTCTAAGTTGTGGGCAAACACATATAGGAGAACTCGAAGGTCAGACCTATGAGTTAGGGCAGCGGTCTCCTAGCTATGGCTTGGAGACTGAATCTATCGGAAAGGAGTATGACTAAAGAATTACACTAGATGACCTGAACGAACGACGAACTGATCAGTGAGCCGAGTTCAAATAATTGGACGACTGGCCCTCTGCATTGGTTGGTGTACACTAGATGGTTTGTCACAAGACCCGAGGACGATTGGGCATTTCGGCGTCCGCATGAATTGTGCATCACATCACACACACACACACACAAGCGGAGATCAAGCGATATGTGATTCAGATTATGCCCTCATTAACGTCCTCACGCAATAAGTGATGCAGGCCATTCGCTTTTCGCGCCCTATAAAATCTCAAGTGGCCCTGCCATGGAACACATAATTGCATCACATCACACACACACACAAGCGGAGATCAAGCGATATGTGATTCAGATTATGCCCTCATTAACGTCCTCACGCAATAAGTGATGCAGGCCATTCGCTTTTCGCGCCCTATAAAATCTCAAGTGGACCTGCCATGGAACACATAATGGAGTCCGTTTCGGATTTGCAGATGAAGCTGGTTTTAACAAAAGACTAAATATAAGGTTAACGGAAACACAGGGAGCTTCAGAAAGAAGGAAACCATTCGTGAGCTGTCGAAAAACTTTCAGTAAACCTATGAGTAGCGTGTTCCGTCAAAGAACCATATTCGATTTGCAACGGCGACGGAGAAAGAAATATCCGTTTTACTGCCTGGAAGACCCTGATTTACAACGCGTCCTACATCGAGATGCGTTTTGTGGAAAGAAGGTGGGTGTCTGTTTTGTTCACAGTATATTCTTCCATACCTATACGTTCTGTCCCGAACCGTTTGAACATTATTCTGAAGAGACTGGTTCAGATCCATGTGACTCGGTCTTGTGTTACAATGTGGACCGCTGTCATAGAAATCTGGAGATACCTGAATTAGAGATTCTGATTGAGGGCATTAGTCTTGCTGCATTGAGACAAGCTGGAAATGTCATGTCGCACAAAAGCACATGCAGCATCAGCCGGGCTACCCCTCTTGACAGTTCTTCGCATGCGTCTACTTCACTGCCGGCTGGATCGCAGCAGTAGAACTATTCAAACTGCTTTTTTTCTGAACGCACCGCAAACCCTAGGCCTAGTAGTGTGAAGTTATCGGATGGATGGGAACCAACAGGCGATTTGTCGGTTGACGCACACAGGATTTACGGTACAAAAGGACATTGGGGAAAGTAGTCCATAAAGTCACAACGACAAAACCATATATGATTGGAAGATACATAAGCGTGTATTGTGCGGATTCGCAGTGACGATAATATGAAAGGGTCGACAATTACTTAAGTCACCAGAGTGACAAGCGTGGCTGGCGATATGATTGATTCAGGGTCATGGAAACCACATAGGTTGCGGGTGTTCGTGGGCCTGTAGATTCGTGGTTGGAAAAGAACCAACGAGAAATGGTGTGAATCAATCGAGTAATGTTGATTTGGTTTGTGCACTCAAAAATAAAACTCTACTCAAGAGTTGCCGTCTTCTGGTGCGCCTCATAGATGCTGTCACCGTGAGTATTGAAGACGCTGCACAAATGGTGTCAGTTACGAAATCACTGCACTGCCCATCTGGTAGGCAAACAAAATGGAAGCTAGGCAGGGTCGATGATAGGCACGCACGCATGACATCGCCCGCAAACATGTCGAAGGAATGAGGAACAGTTTTGTTGAAAATTAGGACGACAAAGCAGTAAGGATCCCAGTGAATTGCAGGTGATCACACTAGTCTTGCCGAAGAAAGATCATTTCAGTGAAGGGATATGCACGACCCTCTCAGGAAGAATATGCCACAGGTCGTGACGACGGAGCGGTTGCTGGAAAACGCGAATTAGTTAAAATGTCCGAGAGGTCTGAACAACCAGATATTGAGTTCCGGCCTGGCTTTAGACCACAGCGCAACTTATTAATATAGTGGTATAAAACAGATACAAAACTGAGGGTTTGACACATAAGCTCACTTCTAACGCATCAGCTAATGTATTTCCCATCATCCAATGTCCGTTTACTTCAAGCAGACGATCCCCGGGCTTCAAACGACCGTCGCGACCGACCGCACCGTCAGGAGAGATCCAGGTCACGAAAATACTGCCGTTGTTGGACAAGGAGGAGGAAAGTTGAGCGTTACGAGACGAGTCTTCCTCAGTGACCGGAGGCACACCGCCAGCAATTCGCAAACCAAATCGTTCCCCTACACGCCGGCTGATTGATAAGCGCTGTGAAGGGCGGAAAAACCGAAAAATCCACATGGATAGTGATGAGATCAGGGACAAAAAGACTCATCTCAAACCATAAATTGATTCGGACGCTTACGACGAATGGTTGTTCTTAGGAACGGATACGAAAGGTGGGATGATAGAAGGGTGTCTGATCTGAAACATTGTGCTGTGGATGAACGCACGAGGAAGAAAATGGTGAGAAAACTGGTGGTAGTGGATCTGATTAAACAAACTAACTTGCAGTTAGGTAAGATGTACCAGTTACGTGAATGAAAGCAATGTAGAATTATTCAGGCCTCAGGAGGAAGTTCTCTGATCGATAGGCATGCGGAGCGGTTCAGCGACAGGACAGAAAGAGTCCCCACCTTTTCCATCGACTCATTGGTCTACAGGATAGCTTGTAGTACAATTCCCCCCGGAGCGAATGTCCCAATAGTCTGATTTATTTGGCTGCGGAGGGTTGAAATCGTCCCAGGACACAGTAATTGTGGTGTATATTCCCAACACCCAGCACTACTGTATACAGCAGGTGCGTTCAGAGTCCTAATAGGCTTAAGATACGTTTCCATCATTTTTCGGCCGCAAGGGATAATTCACTATGATCGCAGCCAACCATTACGCGAATAGCTTATGCGGACGTTCTTTAACACGCATTAAGTACTAGTCACCTGTAGGAAGAACACAATGCCTTCATATTCGCATAGCACGAAAAAACAACGTAACCAACGGATCACTACATAATACGGTCATTCACTAGGTGGTCGCTCGATGCTTTTTACTCGGATGCCCCACGTTGGTTTCCATGACACTGTTGAACCCCATCGTAACGTCGAAGAAGTAGCTCATTGTTGGGCTCTGAAAAGAACGTTCGTAAACTACGAAAGCGATAGCTACAAAGTTATTTGACCTCTCTTTGGAGCAGCCAGAGGCGGGCGAAGGGTTTAAGATTCACTAACCAACTGATCTCAACAAACCAAGAAACTGGTAAGACGGTGTCTGCGTTTTAGACAGAGGCCATTCTATATTTCATTTCAAACGTTTATTGTTAGTATTGTGTTGGTCGCCAAGGGAAAAGATACTATAGGCCGTCAACTGTTGCGCTTCCCCGGGATTACACGAGCAATCGAATCCGCTTTCTCTGCCTCTAACAACTGCGGGGTGCAACTGATCTCGAAAATCCATACCCAAACACCGAGTACATATGTAAAAAAAGCCGTTCCGTGGTCGGATTCTTATCTCACGTAGCAGGTGGCTCAAGAGCTTAGAGTGCGAATTTACTGACCGAAAGGTCCGTGGTTCGAACCCGACCTCTGCCTCTCGACCTCCCTGTCTAGGCTTGGGCAGTATCCCAGTCCTCGCGCAACCTTCGGGTGGCATGGCAGGTAGGGTGCTACAGCTGAGCGAGTGTTATGTAGCAGAATGAATTAGGTATGTGCGACGTATACGGTGCCTCCACAAGATTGGAAGGGATCGAATCTAGATGACAAAGGCTTCAGTGATTGAGGTGACCGGAAAATCTACTGAGTTTCGCAGTTGTAGTATAATACNATGTATGAATTTCGAACAAAAGTATGGATACCAGTTGCGTACGTGATTTCGTTCCTCACTACCCCCTGTCATTATGATCTGTGATTCGTCCACTGGGTGTGTGTCAGTCAAATCGAATGTACTGTCGTATCAAGGTATTGCATGCAAACGGTGCACGCTCAGACACTCACCATGATATCCGTCTCATCATTCGACAGATAAGGCTGCATATGTATAAGCATACAAATCAGAAACACATTTACGGAATCGGATGAGGCGTGTGAAGTATGACTAACTACAAAAGCGCCATTGGTTTCGGTTCGAGTATCCAATCACTGCCTGGATAAGTTGTGAGCATCCCAGGTAGCCAGGACCCTTCCGGTCAAGTGATAGCCTGTCCGTCTCAACTTTCTTTCGACCCGATTCCGATGCGACAAACAAGGTCTATCTGCGTGAACAGCTCTCGGGTATGCGTAACATGATCCGACCGGCGTCACTAGTTTAGTCGTACCAAACAGTCGATCGAGTACCGATCACTTGCCACCACGCGTGTCCAAAGGTGTGAAAATAGCGAAATTAAGTAATCATCTCTCCTTTTTTCGCGTTTACCGACATGACAACATCACGATGCTGCGGTAAGCATGAAGGAAGGCAGAGAAAGCATTTTTTCAACTCTAGCACCTTGTCAGTAATAGTGGCAGCAGAAGCGACACAACTACCTACGCATGTAGGCTTCGTCATCAGTCCCATGAGGTTCAACGAAATCACAAGATCAGATGGTAAGCAGTTTGCATTCTAGAGGTCTCCGGCGAATCCTGCCTCCGTTCATACTACATAGGAAAGCAGAGAAAGAGCAAACCTTGGGGTGAAGGACTTACCCGAAGACCTGGCGGAGTTGGATCGCGCCGAACTTCCAATTTTAACTCCTTAGTGGTTTGTATCAGGGCGCGCACAGCCTTATCATGCGTAGCATGACGAAGGTCGATATCGTTGACTCGAAGAATTCTGTCACCGACACGAAGTCCCGTATGTTGGGCTGCTCCGTCCGTCGAAATCTAAAATGAGATGACGCCAGTTACGTGTTGCATGTGACGTGAATGGCCATATATTCCCTTCCGGCCACCAGCTAATACCAACAGCCGAGGCAAATGATTTGGAGACGATGGCAGTGGCACAGATCTAACAGATTTTTATCCATGGATTTGAACTTAGAAATCTGTATGCACCCTCGTGGTGGAGCCTGTTGTTGGAAATAATCAGCCGTGTGTAGTCCATGAGGCCTGAAAAGGGCTTCGAAATTGAGGATTCCACCTTTGAGCTAGATAAAGCTGATTAACCATGGGATGATTATACACCCTTCAGGAACCACGGATACCAAATTTCGGTAGTCAACCATACCATATCTTTGACCTGGTATCGATGGGCGTCGAAGCAGAGAAATCCAAAATTCAGAACCAGAGATTGCAATGCATATGGAAATGCTACTTGCATTCAGTGGACAGTAGGGTGATGGCAACTACGATACGAGGGAAATGGATGGGGAAGGAGATGCAACAGCTTCAGACTCCGAAACGCCCAACCTGCGATATTCATAAGACCCGAATCCATTTTATGGAGCCCAACCAGCATGTTGGATGTCCTGAGCAGTGAAATTCAATAACTCAAAGCTATAACAACCCGATAGTAAATAGTTATTATTCAAACAATCTCTTGGAAGCTTGGTCTTGAATTAGTCGGCCTGAAAGCAATTCTAGGCAACAATTTCCACGAGCTCCGCGAAAAATATCACTAAGCAGACCGATGGGGATATTTCGTCAGTGCATGGGGCTGGGATTGTCCATGGACAGAACAAAATCGGACTTGGCACAATGCAACCATGAATACTTCTCTCATTATGGAACATTTCACATACGGTAAACTAAGCGCCACACACGAACGGTAATCACGTGTAGAACAGGTAAGTGACTCGTATCAGGTGGTTATCCACTAATGGGATCATTCACCAGTCAGAATGGTTGGAGAGTTTGATCGATGTGCATACATATTACCTTTGTTGGGAAGATTGTTCCGCGATTTCGGTAACCAAGACGACCAGCTAGTCGGATAATGAACAAGATGTGTGGCGGAAACCCTAAGCAACCAAGCCACGATGTCTCCAAATCTTCACTTGCTTTATTCCTGAATACACGGGTTCATTTTACACGAGTCAAGTATCGTCAAACGTGTTGAACAAAAATAACCAATGCCATAGAAGCAACTTGTCGTGCATGACGTCAAAAGTCAGTTTCACTCTCAATAAAACAGCAGCATAACTTTGAAGTGCTTCCTTCCCCATGCGAGACCGTGTCTCTTCAGGGTTTCGGGAAACTGCAATCAGTAGATGGATCAAATCTCGTCTCTCCCGGCAGTGCACACTCCGGGTGTTTGAGGCGCTGTAATTGAACGAGCGACGTGGAAGCGCCAAGAAGACGAACTCCATAGTTTAACTACCCATGGAAAACTTGCTTGAAACTCTATTTCACCTGATTTATCGAGCAGAAATGGCAAACAGAACGAGGAAATAACGGATCATGTACGATTGGGAACCGTGCGACAGCATGACAGAGTACAGATGGCTGACAAACGCAAGAAACTATCCAAAAGTCTTCTCATAACTACTAGGGTCCTTCAGGACAACTCTTCCTTCCAGTTCTACTTTGTTAGCGGTAAGAACAAACCCCAGAAGATGATAAATCTAAGACTCGAAATGCTGTCTGGATAAAGGTTACTGAAGTGGAACCACGTGTATAATGTCGTATAATGATAATCAGTAGCACAATTTAACCTAAACGGAATGTCCGAAGTAGTAGCTTCTTTCAAGTTGTTCATTTGTTTACAAAACCTGAAGAAAAAGACGTGTATAGGAAAGGTGGGGGAACAGGTTATGTCCTTCATGAAGGTGGAGTTCTTGGTTTACGGACCAGCAATGTACATCATGACTTCGAACTAATCGACACACAATTCATCGGTACGTCAAACACAAATCAACAGCTTAAATAATATTCGAGGGTAGGTTACTAAAGTCGACGGTGAAAAGGAATGTAATGGAGGTAGACTAGATTTTTATCGCATTAAAGACCGTCTGTTAATTACCTTCGAGATGAAGACTCCTGGTTCTTTATCCGCAAAGGGCAAGCAGTTAATATCTGATCCACCGTAGATGGCCAGTCCCAGAGGTCCACCATTCGATCGGATAGTAACTTGGTCCACAGCATATCCGTTTTCTGTTCTTAACCGAACTGGCTGTTGTTCCGCTACACTACCAGAAGGTAATGGGTTGTTAGTGAAACCTGGTGTCGCACCAAGCCAGGATTCCTTTGTTTTCGGGGACGGGTGGGAGGTATTCACCGTGCTCAAATAGCTGGACCTCTCTTGCCCCAACGAACACACATGACCGTTCGCTGTAAGCGAAAAACAAGGACATTTAGAAAGAAAGAATGTTAACAAGCCATAACGGAAAGTTAAGAAAACTTGTTTATCGCATAGAACTGCGCGAAAGAGAAGCTCAAGAAACCACTAGAAACTCCGTTTCTATAATTCAGTAAGACCGAATCTCGTACCCAAAAATTTCAATCATAAGGTGTGCAGTGAAAATAGGGGGTGATAGGAAGAGGGCCACATAATGAAATCAGTGGTTTAAAATGTTTGTTGGCGTAACTTTGTCCCATTTTTCCCACGAAGTCGGAATCGGAGGATTACTCAGTGGTTGTTGTTGTTGTAATCAACACGCTCCGCGAGGTGTGCGATTGGACCATTCAATCGGCCTGATCAACCTTTGGTGTACCCTTCCAGAGCTTTCCACCCAGAAAGACTACGAGTATGGACAGCTTGACAAATCGTGAAGTTGAATGCGAGCAATTTACAATTCCGAGGGATCCGACCAGAGTATAGCAATGGCGGTGCACATAAGCAACTGTCCAGGGCGCACATTGGCCTCCAGAGAAGGTAGGTAACAGTAGAGTAAGATAACGCAAGTGGGTGTGGTTAGGTGGAAGCTTGCCATAGATCTGTACGTCATGAAGGGTGTCTAGTGCTTTGAGGATAGGCAACACTTTGTCTAGGATGTCTCTGATACCACAATGGCATCCAGAACCTCGACTAATGGATTGCACCAGAACAATCCAGGTGGACTTCGGCTCATTGAAAACTTAACGTTTTCAAAAGCTGATCGAAGTAGGGTGCAATGGTACACAAAGAATTGAATTACCCGACAAAATCTTGGTGTGCCACCAAGACAGTGACAGTGTGCTCTCCATCAAAGTGGATCCCAACAGTAGATCGGAGTGAAAACATCTTATCTTTATCTTTGAACAAAGGTACCTTGCTGATGATGAACGAGACGCCAGTGGGTAAAAGTATAGTCCAAGCGTTTAAACTGAATCACATCAAGGGGCATTGCCAGTTGTCGAAACAAAGGCCGCTTATAGTCAGGATGAAATGACCATTTTGTGAGCCCTCTAGTGAAACGGTATGAAATAAGCTGACTGAAAAAGAGGGACTAGTTTAGCCTCCCTCCTCCCGGGGGGGAGTAAGAAAGCAACAACATGCAACGCGGGAGGGCAAGGACGAAACAGACCGATATTCACGAAACCAGAAACAGTGACAACGGGCAGCTCGCATAAAACAATGGATATAATTCAAACCTGGTAGACCTGTCAAGTAAAGGGATTGATTCACACACACACACACACACACACAAAAAGAAGCCCGTTTTTCCAATCAGAAATACCGATAAAAGTAATACCTACGTGCTCGCTCTGTTAAACACACACACCACACACACAAAGAAGCCCGTTTTTCCAATCAGAAATACCGATAAAAGTAATACCTACGTGCTCATTGTGTTAACAAATAACGCAAAGGGCAGATAAACTCTATCAAACAGAGATATATTAGTAGGCGGTACCCAATAGAATTTCCGGAAAAGGTAACCCACTTCTGAGTTACGGATCATCAATTAATAGATGCAGTTCCTCAAAATATGCCGCTGGAACCAATACACTTTCCCTAGTCAGTCTGCAACAGTGACGTGACATTCACCAACCAACTTCTGAAACAGGTACTTCACTTGACTGTTTCGTTTGAACTTTGTCATCTACTCGGTCTAGTTGGCATCCCGATCTCAAGATACTCGGGAAGTGCTGCGCAAGAGGTCAAGTCACCAGAGTGATGTCACAAAATATCAATTCAACTGACTGTTGAAGGTTTATTCGTAGAAACGAGCAAAAGGGTACCAG